TCTATACCAATCACTATCCCTATCCATCAGAGGGTAAAATCTTGCCACATAACCCAAATCAACTCGATACTTGAAAACCCACTGAGAATAGTCATAATAACACATTGATTGGTGGTGAGGTTGTACACATAATATTCGCTTTTCACAAATAACACATTCTCATCTGATAACCCTATGCATAACAATCCGTTGCAAGAACTGAGACTTACCACAAACCTGCCATCGCACACCTCCATTAGGCGGTTTGCGATTGTTATATGTTGCCGTTTTTCATTTGGCGGCAGAGCTACAAGCTGCGGCACGACGGGGAATGGAATCTGCATTGGAGGGGGGGAACAAGAGTCCCGTGACGACGGCGGAAGAGCGACGGGAATGGAGGCGCCGGAATTTGGGGTTGGATAGGATGGAAAGCCACTGCTTGGAGACGCATTGGAGGCGCAGAAGAGACCCAGGGAAAAAAATAATAGGGGAGCATTCAGGAGAAGCTCCTATTTCCTTCCCACATAAGCAGCCAATTTTGATAAGTATGGAACCCAAAATGCATGAGGCTTTGTGCTTAAAGTGCATGAGGTTGTGTTCTTAGGGGGCGTTTGGTTCAGGTTATATAAGATAATCAAGGGAATGTGACATTCCAAAGCTCACATTCCGGTGTTTGGTTCATATTATCTCAGGGAATGTAACATTCCCAAGGAATGTCACATTCCCTCCACATAGGATTTTGAAGGGAATGTGATTCCCTTCAAAATCTTAGGTAATCTAAGATAACCTTGGTTATGTTAGTTAGTTATATATATATTTATTTATTTTTATTATGTTATGTTAGTTTATAAAATAATTTTGTTTCTCAAGTTCAAGATTTTAGTTAATATTTTAAAATCATGTGATTATATATGATACCGTTATCTTATTTATTTATTTTAATTTTTAAATTTATTAAAATATATGAAAATATGTTAAGGATATGATAGTGTGTATAAAAGATAACCCTAAACCAAACATCATTATATTACATACCCCAATTTTAACCAAACACAGGAATCTAACATTCCCAGTAATCTAACATTCCTAGCAATCTAACATTCCTTAAGGTAATCTTACATTCCGTGAACCAAACGACCCCTTAAGGTGTTTTGTTTGTGTGCTTAATGTACGTGTGTTTTGTACTTTTAAGTGCGTTAGATTAATGCTTAATGTGAGTCCACTCGCACCTGATCCCTTCTCTCTCTCTCTCTCTCTCTCTCTCTATATATATATATATATATATATATATATATATATATATATATATATATATATATATATATATATAAGTCTGCTCAAATGCGGTCGTGCTTTTCCGTGCGATCGCTTGAAAAATGCACCAATAGTGTTAACAAAAGACACAAATAGTGTTAGAAAAATGCACAACAATAAAATGCACAAATACACCCAACAAACGCACAACACACCCAAAATAATGCACCATAACTCCCCACACCTAATTGTGCATTTTCGAACACTGTGTGGTGCTTTTATGCATACTTAATAGTGTTTTTTTGGGTGATGTGTACCTAATGGTGCATATTTGTGTTGTCTATTTCCTACCATTGTTGGTGCATATTTTCATAACTATTGGTGCGACCGCACTGATCGCACATTATTTGTAGTGTAGAGATTTATAAAATCTTATAAAACAATAAAATCATATAAAATAGGGAAAATGGCACTTTTTACCCCTGAGTTATATACTTATAGCACTTTTTCCCCCTCAATTATTTAGGTAAGCACATTAGCCCCCTCAGTTATTCTAAAAGTGGTGCTTTTTCCCCCTGATATATTCAATTGACATTTATACCCTTAAAGTAAATATTTTATTTATTTTACTTCTCCAACAAATTATTGCGTATACGTAGGGATGACCACGGTTCGCTTTGAATTGAATCGGATACTATAGTAATCGAATTAATAGTTTTTGGTTATAATTCAGATCTAGAATCCAATATTTAAATGTCAATTTATTAAAATTATGTATCAAAAAAATTGAATCTTGAACCGTGAATCGGCGGTTCTGGATCCGATTCGCGATTTTGAACCGTCTTTATTTTAAAATTTTATTTTTTATTTTAAAATAGTATAAATTCAACAATATATGTATTTTATTTTTTCAGTTCGGAACATGAACCGTCCATTCTGGTTCACGATTTTAATAAACTCTAAATATCGGATTTCGATTCTAAATTGTAATTGGAATATTTCGGTTTGGTTGCTATAGTGTTTGTTTGGTTTGAACCAAATTATGGTCATAATTTGTTGGAGAAAAAAAATAAATTAAATATTTAGTTGAATGGGTAAATATGTCCATTTAACATTTCAGGGGGGAAAACAACCACTTCAATAATTTAGGGGGCAAAAATGCTATAGGTATATAACTCAGGGGGAAAAAGTGTCATTTTCCCTATAAAATATTATAGAACTCATATTATTGTATAGAATTTTAGAGAAGATTTTAGAGATATATAATCATAGTTATACGATCAAGTAGATCTTTCACCGTTTATTGAAGATGTGGAATAAGTATAAATAACTTTATAGACCTCATTTTGTAACAATCTAAGTGATCCAGTTACTCAAATAAAAATGAAGGAGTCACAATGATGAATAAAAAAAATGGAGATGAAAAAAGATCAAAAAGGTTTATTTTTGAAACATTATCAAATATAATTTATAATTTATTAGTAGTTTAAAATAAAATATAAATTTCTAAATAAGTTTGGTGAAATAGAACCATGAACTAGCCCACTAAACCATTAATATAGAGTATATCGTCGTCTATACTCTATATAGTGGAAGAAGAGGCTCTCTCTTTTCTTCAATTCCTTCTTTTCTTTTTCTTTAATTTTCAGTTTTCAGAATGCGCATCACAGCCGAAGTTCATACTGTATTTTCCCTTTCCTCCATTGAGGAGATACACACTTTTCAAGGCATACAGTTGCTCGAAGATCGCACTGGAATTTAGGCAGGAAATCAAACTGTTATATTCAATGGTAGGGTTTGGGACGATTAAATGTTTATTCGTCATATTGACGTGTTCTTGAACAGCACAGAACGAGGAATACCTGCAGCCGTTCCCGGCGCCCTTTCCCGGAGGAGGGGAACCAGCGCTCACCGTCTCAGCTCCCCCTCCAAGTCCTCCAAGAGTACCACTCACCATTAAACCAAGATTAGCTGCTGCAGGACCTTCGACCGAGGGGAATAGCTTGATTGCATATGTTAACAGAGACATGACTGTAAGACATTTTAGGGCATTCGTAGAAACGCTATATGGGCTCCGGTTGCGTTTATTCGCAGGCGATTTGGAGATGGCTGAGGATGACAGACCCATTGCAGATTATGGAGTGTTCAGAAAGAGTTCATTGTAATCTCAATGTCTACCCATTGCAGATTATGGAGTGTTCAGAAAGAGTTCATTGTAATCTCAATGTCCTTCACCCTTTGGGAATAAGAAATACGCACAATGTTAAAGCACTGTATTAATTTAAGGGACATCAATTTATGAATATTGTGTTAGTATTAATTAGGGATTGTGTCTCATAATCATGAATCCAACTCTCTTATAAAAATAATAGTAATATTTTCTTATTTTTCAAGTCACTTGACGTGCTTTCTAGAAATTTTTTTAGACAATAACTACTATTAGTAATTTTGTTTCATTTAATTGTGCAAGTTGTTTGTAAATCCATATGCTTACATTATTGTTCCATTGTAATTGTAATGCCATAACCAACTTTTCTACCCAATTGGTGAACAAGTAGTTGAAGGTTTATTGACAAACGCAAAGAAATATCAATGAATTTTGTATTTTCTCATATTCTTTGTTGCTTCACTACAATTTGACTCTTGCACAGAAGTGTACAATTTGATGTTGAGTTTTGAAATTAAATTAACTCGATTTATCCCATTGGCCTTGGAGCAAGTCCATATATAAGGGGCATTCTTAATAGTGGGCTTTTGATTTGATTTTGTAAGTTTGATTAAGAAAGAAAAAATAAGATGAAATAACAATTGTCACACAAATAGATTACAAACATTTATAACCTTATCATCATTATCCTTTTTTTTTTAAATATGACACTTTTCAACATAACCCAAATCAACTCGATACTTGAAAACCCACTGAGAATAGTCATTCTGCATTTCAAAAACATTCAACAACTGCTCATGCCTACCTATGAAATGCAAATGCCCTCCACACTCACCCAAATACTTGCACCCTCCCGGCTCATTATTTACACATGAAATACAAGGCATTGGCCTAAGCTCACAACTATCAATATTGAAGCACACAAACTCGTTCTTATAAAGATACCAATGAATTGCCCCATTCAAATAGGGGTTACAAGTGCTATACAAATCTAAACCTAAACTCCGGGGTAGTGGCGTACCCGTGTTCCTCCAAACCCTTGATTCCGAGGAAAACACCCACGCTAGATAATATCCACAAACGCACACCGGCTTGTAGTGATTGGACTTGGAAGGATCAAAAGCTATGGCAACGGTACTAACATATTTGCCCTCACTCTCTACTCCTGGAATACGATGTTGGGTTGGGGCTTCCCTCCTATGTGGTAAATAGCTCATTTTGGACCAAGCCTATTCCACCGCAATATTTGTTAGCTTGATGGAAAAGTTTGCTGACAATTGTTTGGGTTAGAGAATGGGTTATTGGGTAGAAGTCAAAGAGTGGATGTTGGGATGAAGTTGTTGGGCAAAAGTTTGCTTTGGATGAACTTGGGAAGAAATTTCCTAAGGGAACTTGGGAAGAGGTTTCCTAAGGTTTATGGGAGGAGATTTCCTAAAGATTATGGGAAGAGGTTTCCTAAGGTTGTTGGGAGGAGATTTCCTAAGGTTTATGGGAGGAAATTGATGAATTAATTAGCTTTCTTCATTTCCAATGTGGCTGCCTGCATCTATAAAAGGAGGGAAAATTCATTGTTTCCTCACCACTACATCAGACACTTCTACACATTACACATTTATTCCTTTTCTTTTCGGCAGAAGCAGTAGGCCAAAAAGAAAGAAAAAATTCAGTTTTTCTTTCTTTCTCTTTTCACGATCGTATGCAGCAGTTGAAGGAGCAACGTCTATTTCTTCTTCTTTTTGTGCTACTTTATCGTGGATTTGGGACGGCGGCGGCGTGTGTCGGCAGGTTTTGTCGCACATCTGATGAATTTGCCGTGAGTTTGCCGGAGATCTTTGGGGTACTTTTCTTCATCAAATATTTGGAGAGGTCAGTGTTTGTTCTAGGCATCATCGTTTTGGGTAAGCTCGTAATATTTGTATTTGTATTCTTTTCACCTTGTTCGTGGTGGTTGAATATTCTGAGTACGAGTTGGTATCCCTTTTAGGCCTGTGAACGTGATATATTGTATTTGGCCTAGTTGTTGTATTTGATGATTTTTATGGTGTTTGGCTCGGGTGGTAGCCAGCAACTTTGTACTCAAGATTTGGCCTAGTTGTTGTATTTGATGATTTTTAGGGTGTTTGGCTCGAGTGGTACCCAGCAACTTTGTACCCAAGATTTGTTATAGTGGAATATTGTGTTGGTGGTGGTCCGTGGTTTTTCCCCGTGGTTTTGGAGTTTTGCACGTAAATCTTGTGTCCCTTGTGTCTGTTATTTATTTTGGTTGGTTTGCACCATATCGTATTTGCGCTCTTGTCGGTCCTGTGATTTTATTTGTCACAGGTGGTGGGATTTTTCCCAACATACGATTACTACGTTGACGATTGTTATATGTTGCCGTTTTTCATTTGGCGGCAGAGCTACAAGCTGCGGCACGGCGGGGAAGGGAATCTGCATTGGAGGGGGGCAAAAGAGTCCGTCGCCGGGGAAGGGAATCTGCATTGGAGGGGGGCAAAAGAGTCCCGTGACGATGGAGGCGCCAGAATTTGGGGCTGGACTGATAGTTGGATTGCACATTAATCGCTATATGCTCACAGGATGGAAAGCCACTGCTTGGAGACGCATTGGAGGCGCAGAACAGATCTGGGGGCAATCCAAGCAGAATTTGTAATAACAAATCTTCGGCGTCCAACATCTTCATTAGAATTAGAATTCCTCAACAAAGACAAATCCTTCTAACTACAACCTTTTAATCACTCAATTAAGGTTGAAATAAGAATCCTAATTCAAATTAAATACTTGTCAAAGTCTGCCAAATGGGCCGGCTCGCAAATTATTTTATGGACTCGAATCTATAGTACACAATTTATATATAGTATTTGTGCTCAAGTGATAGCACGCCCCGAGGATCAGGCCTAAAATGGCGTGGCCCAAATACAAAGAACAAAGTCCACGAGTGAAGCTAGACGGTAGTGTTGGTCGTGTCTGTGTTGCCCCCTTTGAAGGGAGAGAATGATGCCTTATATGGTGTGCAGGGCCTTCTAGATTGTCGACAAGTGTACGACATCAACCCGCCTTCCGCATCTATCTTCCACGTGTCCCATGCATACCTCATGCCTTCACTCACGTCTCCACCCTCTCTCCCACCTTTACCACCCCTCCTTACCTCTCACTACCACCCCCAGTCAGTGAGGGCCCGATGGTGCGCCGGAGGCGCATGGTCCTCGCTAGTCACGTCATTCCATGGGGATCGGAGTCCGCTGGGTTTGTATCACTGGCCATGCGCTAGCCGGAAGGGTCAATTACTAACCCCCATGTCATACCTTATCCCACCATGCCATACCGCACCATTCCGAACACTGCAACGCACCGTCTCGCACCCCCTCGGGAGTCGGGAAGGGGGGGGGGGTGGGGGGCGCCGTTGACATGCCCGGGGGCACACCACCCCCGCTAGCCGTGCTATGGCCTGAGATGGACGGGGGGACCCGCCGCCAGCCAATGGCTGGCGGTCAAGGCTGCCCCGCCCGAAGATATCGGACTAATATATTGGCTGCCAACGGTTCTGCCCCGGAAACTTCTTTTTTCTCCTCTTTTGTACCTTTTTGGACCACCATGCCCCGGAAACTTCTTTTTTCTCCTCTTTTGTACCTTTTTGGACCACCATGCCCCTGTCTTCTTAGTCCAATAAGACTTGGGCCAACCTCCTTCCTTCACCACACCCACTTGGGTCAATACTTTACCAATAAAATGGACCCCGGAATCTCATATCCCCATCAACAATTTACATACTGATTCAAATTGTGAATATTCAATATATAAATTGTGTATTTTAACCTGAATCTACCTTGTAAGGTAGATCTGAGTCCATGGCATAGCTGTTAGTTCTTGCCAGTTAAATTTTTAAATGTGTATATCCGTATTTAATTAAAATTACGCAGTACAAATTAGATAAGAAAAATAATATATTATTTTTAGTTTCACAATTGTTTCTTACTAGTTATTTTACACATGCAATTCATAATTTATGCATTTCATGGATGTTTGACCCTAAGAGCCCAACAAGTATGTCATTGCGCAAGTGTGTAAGTGTTCACAATGTGCCTTGAGTGTTTTGAATAATTACAATCACAAGTTAATGCAGATAGTAATTGGAATAGTATAATTTAGAAACTAAACTAGCTAGAATCCTAAATATACAATCAACAAGGTAAAAGAGCTGTATTACATGACATTTTAGTACCCAAAGACTGGCTGATGAGCATATTTAGTCTCATCCATTAACCAGAGCAAATGTGCAGATGAAACTTCAAGAGTTGACTTCCAGGGGGTAAAGATCCAAGGAAAGTTGCAGCAAGAAAGGCATGTCGAAAGTCCAGCACTGTTCTCTGATGCACCATGTACTAACTATAATGGAAAGGAATATTTCTGCCATGCGCATGAGTGGTTAATGCTCGATAAAGTACCTCTCAAAAGCTGAGACCCAGGGAAAAAAATAATAGGGGAGCATTTAGGAGAAGCTCCTATTTCCTTCCCACATAAGCAGCCAATTTTGATAAGTCTGGAACCCAAAATGATAGTTCAGAAGAACCAGTAACATACATCAAGCTTCCTGGAGCCCATCTTATAACCGGAGGTTCAGAATCTGTACTCATCCAACAAGCAACCTGATAGACATGATAAACAAATATGAGCCAGAGGTTGAATATATTTATCTAAATGTCTAGGACACTGGACACGTACTTCTTTGCCACTCCGAACACTCCAAGCATAGACACTGCCATCCCCTGAACCTGTCAAGTATCAAGGGAAAAAAACTAATGTGATTTAGGGGTCTGAAAGGAATATTCTTTATTAATTTCATATTTTAAAATATAAATACTTGTGGAGATATGTGTCTGTGTGAGGAAGTTTAAGGAACCATGAAACAATCACAGACATTCAGAACCATAGTATCATACAAGGCCAACATTAGATTATATTAGTTTTCCTTTATTTCCTGGGTCCTAAGTTCCTAACCAATTTAAACAGCAAGTACAAGGTGCCAGAAACAATTGTCAATTCATCACTATATCTAGAATGGTTAGCTTATCCTGGAAAAATAACAGGTGCCTTTATCCTGGAATTGGTCATTTAAGTAATCCTTTTAAGTACAAATTTCCTAGTTTGCACACCAAATTGAATAAATGTCAAGGTTTCCTAGTAACCTTCAAACTATTACATTTATTCATAACAGATGTGTGCTTTTGATAATATTTTTGTTGCAATCAGCCAATTACATTATTTATAATATCATGTTTGTAACAGACATTGAAAAGAAATTGGAAACACATAACCTATTGGTATAACTGATTGATTAACTCTTTCTCTTTACTCTATTTCTTTTTACAATTGGCAACTCTGAGTGAGAGAATGGGTTGGCTAGTAGAATTGTCACTCGGACATAACAAGCTGGTCGGACCACTTCTTGATTTCAGGTCATTTTCTTCTTTTTTGTTCCAACATAACAAGCTAGCTGGTCTCAAATCAATGCCTTTCTTTTTTTGTTCGGCTTTGAAAGAAATGCGGACCCTTCTTCTTTTGTTCGGCTTGAAAGAAATGCGCGGCTACAGGGGCAAATACCTGAGTTGGACCCCATGTCATCCCTAACCACAGTAGGGGTCTGTCATCCAGATCTGCCGCGAATAACCCTCATCCGGAACCTAAAGGGTTTCTATATAGCCCCTTAAATATATAGCCCCTTAAATTTCTGACAGTTAAGTTCCGGTCAACCGCCACAATCAAGCAAGTTCTGTTTAGTAATGTTTTAAAAATAAACCCTTTTGACCTTTTTTCTTCTCCTATTTTCTTCATTTGCGACTCCTTCATTTTTATTTCAACTATTTTCTTTTTATTCATCATTGCGACTCCTTCATTTTCATTTTAGCAACTGGATAACTTAGATTGTTACAAAATGAGGCCTATGAGGGTATTTATACTTATTCCACATCTATTGTTACAAAATGAGGCCTATGAGGTTATTTATACTTATTCCACATCTTCAATGGACCGTGAAGATCTACTTGATTGTATGACTATGATTATATCTCTAAAATTCTATACAATAATATGAGTTCTATAATATTTTATAAGATTTTATTATTTTATAAGATTTTATAAATCTCTACACTACTAATATATATATAGAATGATTAGCTTATCCTGGAAAAATTCCAGGTGCCTTTTATCCTGGAATTAGTCATTTAAGTAATCCTTGAGTACTAATTTCCTTATTTGCACTCCTAATTCAATATATATCAAGGTTTCCTTGTATGTCCTTCTCCTGTCTTCCTCCTATCAATTTCTTGGACAACATATGGTTTCAAATATCAGCCTGCATTTTGTCTTATTTAAAAATCTTAGCTTAGAGCGAAATATTTGGCACATGATTCCCTCCTCCACTCTCTCCCTAACCCTCAATTCTAAGGGCATAATGTGACAAAGCCAAGCTGCAGAGCAAATGCACATAGGTTCATTTACTTGTACTTAAACAATGCCTTCTCAATTTCAAGGAATACATATACAAGTGCCTTTGCAGCTAATCATCATATTCATCAACACACTCAGGCTGAAGGAGGGGGAGGAGGACAAAAGGATATTCTGTATGTATGAAGATAGAGTGCCTTGACAAAAGATAGAGCAGCAACCATATGCCATATGTAGCATCACATCATATATTTAATTCGCAGAAGCAACATACATAACTGCAACCTGCAGATAAAGAAAACTGTGTATTACCTGATATAACAAACATTCCTTCTGGACTAAAAGTTGCATCCAAGGTTGAATCGGATGACACAGGCTTGACATTATATGTTGACAACTGGAACATATTTATCACTAATAAGACTCAGAAAAAGAATTGATTTCATAAAACCCACTAATGTCTAAAAGCATTTCCAAGGATTTGGAGGAAACAACTCACAAGTGTGCCACGGAATGAATCAAGGACATGAATTTTTCCGTCCGAAGTTGTCAAAAGCATAAGTTTGCCATCACTACTGAACTTGACAACATTTGCATCAGATACATCTCCACCAACTGAAAATATTTCGAATGGGCCCTTCAAGGATGTAACTTTTGACAAATTAATGAATGCTAAGAGTTCAGGTTCAGAAGCAAAATAATGTACTAGAAAATGTGAATCATTTTCGGGTTTAGTTGCAAACCTTTTCATACTTGCGTGAATCAAACATTCTTATGTATCCACCAAAAGCAATTGCAAAAACAAGCCCTTGCTCATCATAAGCAGTAGCTGGTCTTCCTTGTGTACGTAGAAGGCCCTAAGAGCAGAGAGAACATCATTTATAAGTCTCAATGTGAAAGAAGCATGGATAAGCGCTTGCTTAGTTTTTACCTGGCATTTTTCAGCTCTTTGGTCCCAGAGCATAACAGTTCGATCAAGTGAGCCAGAAATAAAGCACTCCTTTCTGGAGCACATACTAAGTGAGGCAACCCTGCAAGTCAAAGATATAGCATCCCAATTATGGTGCCTGTGTTATGTGGAGTAAATTGAAGGTTGATATACATTAATAGTTTTGTAATTCCTGCACCTGTCATGATGACCCTTGAAATACCGCAAATATTTGTTATCATGCAACGAGAGAAGCCGCAGAGATTCTGAAATCATTTTAAAATGAAGTGATTTTTGGTTTTCTACAACTTGTATACAAGACATCTAATATAACTTACCATCCCACCCATTCTTTGAAGAGTATATTACAGTTGTTGGATGGGAAGTAAAGCTAACCAGATCAACACCATACTTTTTGCTATTAATTGTCTTCAAACACCTGGCAATATAATTGAAACGAACTGAAGAATATTACACATTCGAAAAATATCAATCATCAATCACACCCAATAAAGTCAAACCACATAGTTCTCCACGTCCCGCTAATTTTAAATAAAGTTGTAAAACCTTAATAAAAATTTTGAAGCCAGACTAAAGTTTGAATTACTAAACCTATCAAACAAAATGCAGGACCAGTAGATGACAGGTAATGGTAACTTAACTTGATCAAAGCCAAAATGTAAAATTCTTACGCTGCTGTTGCAACATCATACAAACGAATGGATTCATCATCACTGGCAGTGACCAGGTAAGGTGATGTCTTATGAAAATCCATTGAACTGATTCTTCCATTCTGCATAGGGTAAGATATATCACTGGTTGCGTTAGCACTTAGCAGACATCCATAGTTCAGTAGCTCTCTTGGCATTAAAAAAACATGTCCCCCCTGTTCCATTCTATTCCTTTCCCATTATACAATGGACGCCTGGTTCCTAAATTAAGCGTATTGTTTCCCCACAACTTCAATTGTAGAGGGAAGAAAGAATCTTTGTACCATGGAGGTCCCAATAAATGCAAATTTTACACTTAAAAAAGCATAGCAAAAAGCTAAAGTTTTACTAACCAACTGAACACAAATAAACCAACATTATTACTACAATTTGAACTCAGGTGGCATTTATCTAGGGTTTCAGAAGCTAATACCAACCAGAAACTATCTATTAGAATAGCTAAATCTTTGAAATGCTAAAAGAAATAGATAAGTTTTCCGACTTCAGAATAGCTTCTTTTCTATATTGATTGATATACAAATAAATATAGAGAAAACATACATAATCGCGAAAGGTGACGCCGACTTCCATGCTCTGTAGAATCTCTTCGGTTAGTTCCAGCGAAACCTTGTCTTCCCTCTCCGGTTGTCCACCTGAGTTGCAACTCAATCACGCGTGAGGAATTAATGCTGAGATGAAACTCAAAACAGAAATTGACAGCGAAAATGTAATGTATTACAGTACCCGCCATTGCTGTTGTAGGAGGATTTTAGCAAAGATTAAGCGGGTGGAGAAGGGCAAATTATTCGTCAAGCTCCTCTTCCAGTCTTCCCTTCTAATTAACGTGAAAGCATTGAAATCAAATATTCGTTAAACCCCAAACCGTGCTGGAACATTGTGGGTCGGGTTGGGAAAATATCCTAATCCAATATTCGGGCCATGAGACATATGGAGTAAATAAATAAAATTTATCAATAATAAAATAAGAGAAAATGTTTGCACTCCAAATTTTTTTCTAATATTATCTCATGAGACTTATACTCATTGAATGTCGTAAATTGACAGACTACACATATTTTTAATTAAACACTAAAGTAATCAATTAGATAGCGCCACGTTAATAGGAAAATTAAAAAGAAATTTTAGGGCGATTATTTAGCATTACTACAAAATAAGGCATTAAATTTAATAAAAATGAACTATATATAATGGGCCAAAAAATATTTTTAAGCTGTCATTATTATTAGGTCAGGGATGGAGCCATGTCTCTTGGATTGTATCCTATTCCTATTAGTAATAGACTAATATTATTCTATATATATATTCACGAATGAGTAGAGTATTCTATTCTTGTCTTCTTCTCCACAAATTATCTACTGAACGGTGGAGTTTTCTATTCTGCTAGATTGCTAGATATGGAGGACGATTACATGCACGTGGGTCCTTTTTATTTCCTCATTATAGTGGTAGGCGTTTGTTTGTGGTTTGTATGTCTGTGTTGGTGTCTCGTCAGCAGGCCACCTACAACTGCGGCGGCGCAACCGCGCAACAGACGGGCGGGAGGGAGCACTGGCGGCAACAACGTTAATGTGGAAGCACAAGTAATTCCAGAAGTAAGGTTAAATATTAAAAGTTTCGAGGAAGGGAGCGTAAAAGGAGAAGAGAGAGGGAATGAATGCGTTATTTGTATCACTGGTTTCCAGAAAGGCGACATCTCCACCGTTCTCTGCCCATGCAACCATAAATTTCATTCAGATTGCATTACTATTTGGTTGGTACTTCATCAGACTTGCCCCATATGTAGAACTAGTACTGTTCAGCCTGTTTCATGATCTCTATCGATCACCCTATTTCTTGGACCTTTTTTGTCATTTTTTTTTTATCTATACATACTAATCAAGATTCTTTATTCCTTATTTTTAAAATTTGGAAATGTATAATTATTCCTGTCTCATTATTGATTATGTTGTGACGATTAAATGTGTTGTCGGTGTTGAACTGTTGATAATATATGTGGTTGAATAATATATTATGGTTAAATAGACTTGGCAATTATGAATACAACACGTTAACACAATACGAAATCGGACACAAAAATAACAGATTAGTGTTTAGCCTTAACATGTCCCGAGTCATTAACGGATTAACACCCTGACCCGTTTTGTTTCGTGTTTTAACGGGTCAACTCGTTTAACTCGTTAATATTATCGTGTTAACCCATTTACACAAATTTGTCATGAATGAGATTACAAAAAAAAAAAATATCATGAACATGACTAAGGATGAATTTCTTTTTTTATATATAACTTAACTTTTTTTTTTTAATATATTAATAGGGTTAATGGGTTTAAACGAGTTTTGTGTCATGTCGTGTCGATACGACCTGAACCCGAAACCTATTAACAAAATGTGTATATTGTATCAACCTATTTAATCCGTTAACAAATCATGTTCGTGTTCGTATTAAAAATTTGAACGCGTTAATGATTGAATTTAAGAGATTAACATATGTGAATTAAATAAAAATAGATTTGTGATTGTGGTAATTGGTTTGAAATTTGGAACAGTACAATTATATGGATATGGTAATACATTGATCTCTTATATGGCAATTTATAAATTTAGTGTAAGTCCAGCAGTTCATTGATTGGCGTTACATAGAAGAAGAAATAGCAAACACAAACTCCTTAATGTTCTTGTCGGAGCTTTCACCTTCATCAACAGCTTCTTTAGCCAATTGTTTCCACTTTGTAGCAGAACCCCTCTCTCCCCCTTCAATCACTTCTACCAACGATATCAGTCCTTTAGATATTTTGTTCAGTGCTCATTTAGTTAAACCATTATTGTTGAATAAATTATTATGGATAAATAAATTTATAATTTAAGGAATTTAGATGAAATAGTAAAAATTTAAAATTTTTAATTATAATGTAACCCAAGATATTAGACGATTGGTAAATACGACGTAAATATAAACTTAATATTTGAAATAAAATTTATTTATATTTTCTTCTTATATACCAAGAAAAATCAATACATCACATGCTAATATTAATGGAAATTTATATTAATTTCTACAATACAATTTCTTCAATTCTCTCTTTTGGCACACTTGCAGAGTTACAGGGAAATGGATTTACGATTCAGTGGAACTAACTGAATTCTCAGACTAAGAATCAGCCGGCCGTCAGCCCGATAAGCCGGAGCAGAACATCAGTCTGCCGGGGCTGACAACCTCCGCCGCCGTCGCCGTGGCAGCGTCATCATCATCTCCGCCGCCTCTCTCTTGATGAGCAGTGGCGGCGGACTTCTTGAAGAACTCTATGCAATCAGCTACTGCTTCACTGTGGTGAGGCTCGTAAGGGCCGTAATAATAGGCCGCCGCCAGCGGGCTCTGCTCGTAAACCGACGAGGACGACGACCTGCCGCCGCATTCCTGCTTATTGTTAGCGGCCTTGGAGAGAGCAGACAGCATGATGAGCCGTAACACGGCGTCCCGAAACCGATCGAGCAACGAGACGCGGGTTTTCCGGGTGCAGCAGCCGCCGCCGCCGCCGTTTATCCTCGACGACATGCGGCAGAAAGGGCTGCTAATCATTCTCGTCCTCGGACCTCTAGACCTCCTCGTTTCTTTGCTTTTCTCCATGATCATATGTAGTTAGTTGATATAATATGATGGGTATATATATAAATAAAGCCTGGGAATCTATAACCAAAACCTGCTGTTATTTTATTGGCGTTAAATAACTACAATCTAACCTATCTATAGTATCAAGCTCAACACGAACTTGTCACCTTCCATTTACAACAGTAACAGTGATGTTATCAAACCACACTGTACTTGCGTGAGTTAGACAATGAGTTTCATAATTATATATAAAGTCTGATTTATATTTTAGAATCTTATTGAAGTCGCAAAGTAGGATTTATTACGTGGGCACAATCAGAGATAATAATTGTGGGTTTTCATTGTCACTGAAAAGAATATTGAGAGGGTATGTGGAATTGGAGATTAGAAAATTTTGTCTGGATTGAAAGAGATACACATGCATACATGTGCCCAGTTTCAATCACCATATATATCTTAATCCATGACAACAATTACATAGTAGTTTAATGTGTAAAAGTATTGAGAAGATTCCTTGATTATAATGGTTCTTTTAATTGAGAATATAACATTTATACCAAAAGGATGGTATGCAGTAACTAAAAGTAACTAAAAGCAGACACCCCATAGAGAGGGGAGAGGAGTCACAGACAACAATCAAACAAACAAACAACAAAAAATAGGTTCTTAATAAGGGAGTTTGATTTCAGTTTTCTTCCTCAGGGAAACGGAGGTGCTTTCCTTTTGGCGTCGGCAAGCCCTTCAACCGCAGCGGTGAGGGGGCGGCCACCGCTCCATCACCGTCAGCACTCTCATCCTCCTCCTCCTCGCCTTCAAGCTCACCGTCGCTGTTGTACACGAATCGTGTATGCTTCCCTGCAAATTTAGCATTAATGCCAATCTTACTGATTCCTCTGCAAAGCTCTTCAACCAGTCCATCATCATCATCATCATCTTCTCCTCCCACCTCTTCATCATCACATTCCTCATCAACTTCTTCAACACATTCATCCTCCTCATCCTCATCATCATCTACAGTACTTGCATTCGCCTGAATCGACCAAACGGATGAAACATCATCCTCACCTGCATTTTTACTTCCTCTAATGTCCCCCTCGTATGTCAGCATTGAAGAACAATCCGATGAAACATCATCTGTTGATTTCTCAGAAAAATCCAGCAGGAGTGACCTTGTCACATTACTCTCCTCAGTTTCAGATTCTTTCTTCCCAATAATCATCTAATTTTCAAAAAGAATCAAACTTTATAACCAATAATTCAATAAAGATAGAACAAACAAACAAACAAACAAACATCTTTTCTTCAAGATTTTAGAATACCTGAGAGATGATGATTGTTTCTTCAACTGGGGAAGGGGTTACAGAAGGGAGGCCATTTTCAGAGGGGTTGAGATGAGGGGTGTTTGCAGGAGTTGGGGCAAGAAGGCACAAGGGAGAGTTAACAAAGCCTTGAAGATGAATGAGAGGCCTGTTGTGGTCCAATGAGACTTTACAGAAATCATCAGCCTCTTCTTCAACCTTCTGCAACAAGTTCTTGACTTGCCCCCTCAACAGTGCCTCCCCTGACCCAGGAGTTATCTGCCCAATGATCACCCTCTTCTTGGACACGCCTGATGATGGTGTCACCATTGCCAGCCCTATGATGGGTGAATCGTTGGTGATGTCAAACAGGGCCGACCTTTCTTTCTGCTTCCCATTCCCCTTCTTCTCAGATTCTTCAAATCTCTCTGAACCCAAAAAAAACAAGAAAGAAATTTGTAAACGAATTCAAGAATTCCCAGGAAAATCGCAAACCAAATCAAGAACTTCCCAAGTTAGAGTCTAGATTTAAGACTCTTAGACACGAATTCTAAGGTTTAGGATTAGTCTAAACTAAATTAAAAACCTAATGTATAAAAAAAGATTAAATGAAAGATACTGACTTGAAATGGGGATGGTGTTGATGGTGGTGGCAGAAGCGGCGGCGGCAGCCTTGGTCTGCGATCTGGTTACTCTTCTGGTTGATGATGGAGTCTCCATTAGAACAAACCCTTGCTTTCAGATCAAGAAGGCGACAGAAAACCAAAATTTCTAGGCCAATTTCTGACAGAAACAATAAGCGGAGAGATATGAAATGGTGAATCGAGATTGAGACGAAGGTTTTATAGGACTGATAATAGGGTTTGATTGTGCCCAAAAAAAATGACCGTTAGAGCGTGTTGGAGCCGTAAACGTCACTAGCCGTTGGAATTTGGAACGGCATAATCTTTCTAAATGGGCTTTTCATGATTGATTATGGATTAGGCCCGATATCTTGGCAAGGTTCCCCCATAAGTCAAAAATGATGGATAACAAAAATTACAATCCTTATACCGTGGACTAGGATCTACATTGCATTGTAGACTCTGATCATGTACGACGTTGTTTTTGAACTTTCATTTTGACGGCGATCATTTGTTTGTCCTTACATTTTTTTTAAACTATAAATCATGTATATTATCTTGTGTTTTGAGTTTTTGTGTCTTTGTGTTATTAAATTTTGTACCTTGAGTATGAATTACACAAGACACAAGCTATCGTTGTGAACCCACTTCGCGACTTCTGTTATGAAATTCTGTACATTAAGAGTATGAATTCTGTACTTGGAATAGATTAGTAGTTGTGTAACACACAACATATTGTGTGTTATATGTTATGAGTTTATGTCTTGTGTTGTGAAATTATGTGTCTGTAGAACATAAATTCTTTACCTAAATCAAATTTGAAAATAAATAAATATATAACATGTGTATGTGCCTTGTGTTGTGAGTTTTTGTGTTATGAAATTATACACCTTAAAATTATGAATTATGTACTTGAAATAGATTAATAGTTGTGTAATGACATGAAGAACGGGAAACTACATAATAATTTGTTAAAATCTAACACAAAGACATCGTTTCGATCCAAGGTCTGTAATGTTATGTGGACCTTGATCCACGATATAAATTGCCCACAAATTATATTGTTGATAAGAGTTTATCTAGTATTGTAGAGTTGGTCTAAAATGACGTCTTTTTATTTAAATTGGCTCTGCATTGTTTTTCTTTAATTTCGTTTAATCAACACTCAATTTTGCAATAGGTATATAATCTATTAGGAATATGTTTCTTACCCCTCCTAAATTTCCTCCATGACATGTCTTATGATTATTGGGGGCCATGAATTGGCTGATTCCACCACTTTTTAATAAAAAAAATTAAAATTAAAGTAACTAATCAAATAGTGTCATGTCATGAGAAAAATTATGAAAATTAAAAAAAAAAAGATAAATAGCATTACTCAATCTATTATTTCATTTATTTGTAAGTATATAAACTCTCAAATCTATAAATTGTCTAAAAAGAAATTCTAAATTTTCAACCATAAATGGTCGAAAACAAAAAATGAAAAGAAAATATTGTAACCATGATTGCTAGAAAGTAGAAAGTAGAAACCATGGCTTTTTGGCCAAAAAAAGTGTGAACCGGGAAAAAAAGAGTTAAAAACAAATAAATGTAAAAGTACCTCATAAGAGAAGCAAACCAAAAGAAAAAGTCTTTTTTTTTTTTTTTTCCTTTTTTCTTTTTTTCCTTCCATTTTCTTCTTTATCATTGTCTACCTTCCCAACATAAGAGAAGCAAACATTTCCAAATTTTGAATTGACTGCTAAAATTTTGCGATCACTGAAAAAGTAGTCAAAATGTCTATCCAATTTAGTGATTGGAAATTAAATTCTTGATCTTTAAGATTTTCAATTTAACTATAAATAAATTTATTGATTTCTACCTATTTTAGGCAATATACCTTCTAGAAGAGTAGACTATATCAATATATCATAATCATAATGATGGATACTCAAGTAGGGTACCTAGTCGGGACCGTCCGCTAGGCAATCGGGAAGAGAGTAGTTGATAATCAACGAAGGAGTGACTTAATTATGAAGAATAACACCTCGGGATCCACTTTAGATTTTTGGATTGATTTCCTTTTCAAATACTCCGTATTAAGAAAGATAGATAAGATCTCCTCAACTAGGAAATAAATCCTAAATTAGTTTAGAAAGGTTTCTTAAGTCCCAATTTGTTAATCTTTTCCTTTTTTTTTTTCCAACCGTCTGACTATGTATAAATACCCTTGGGGTCACACTTGTAAAGAGTTCATTTTTTACTCTAGCAATAATACTACTTCCGTGACATTCTTGCTCTCTAGCATTGTTTTTCGGGTGTGTTGGCCTGCCGACCGATTATCTCGTAGCCGTAAATCCAACACATAACAATGGAGGTATACTATACGGTTCAAAAATATTGATCTAGTAAATGAGAAATCTTATTAAAGACTTACTTCCTCTGGTAAGATGGAGTTCGATTCATGTCACAATAGGATCAATAGTGGTTTTGGGTTGGACTTTTTGTGTAAAAAATGTACCGTTTGATATTGAGTTTACTAGATTGACTTAATTTATTTACTTATAAACTTGAGGTAGGTTGATGTGATCTATGATATATTCTAGCAAAATCAATAAACTTAAATTATCCAAAAAACAATAAACAAAACAAAAGAAACAATTGTCACATCCATCTCATATTACTCGACGAGTAACACACGTGTAGGTACGTGGCTAGCAAGCTTGAAAGGTGGTTGGAGCTGCCAGTCGTCACTATAAGTAGGACCGAATTGAAACCTTAACTCCATGCTACCTAGGATTACGCATTTCCACTCCCAGGAAAAAACTACACAACACAAAAATAAAAACAATATAATATAATGAAGCCTTCAACCTTGACAGGTCTTGCGGGGGAGAAAACGCTGGGATCGAGCTTCATCCGGGACGAAGACGAGCGTCCCAAAGTGGCTTATAATCGTTTTAGCGACGAAATTCCTGTCATTTCGTTGAAGGGCATCGACGACGGCGGCGTTAATGGACGACGGAGAGGGATTTGTGCGCAGATCGTCAAGGCTTGTGAAGAATGGGGGATATTTCAGGTGGTCGATCATGGCGTTGATGCTGATTTGATCTCCCAAATGACAAGCCTTGCCACGGCGTTTTTCGCAATGCCGCCGGAGGAAAAGCTCCGTTTTGATATGTCCGGTGGCAAGAAAGGAGGCTTTGTTGTGTCCAGCCACCTACAGGTATATATGCATTCTTTATCCACATCTTTATATATATGAAAAATTCAAATGCAGCGATGTCCTTAGGTGTGGTGCTGCGGCGGAATTTTAGAATACACCAGTGTTAACAACATACATCAACAGTGTAAGGGAAACATACCACAATGAAATGTAAAAAATATCAAAAAATACACAACATATCCAAAAAAAATACATCATATAACACACCACACTCTAATGGTGTATTTCTGAACACTGATAGTGTTTTTACTCATACCTAATGATGTGTTTTTGTAGTGTATTTTCTTAACGTTGATGGTGTATATTTTTTGAACTGACGCCGCACCACTACAGCTAAGGACATCGCCGCACTTGAACCTTAATATATATATATATATATATATATATATATACTATGAAAACAAGACTTCCCGTAATGAGAATTATATATATTGTGCACAAATACTAACAATAATCAATTTAGTATATCTAAATTCATCTCCAATGAAGACACTAAGAGCATCTCCAACTAACACGGTAAAATGTCGAAGATAACAAACATGCAGACGACGCTTTCTGTGTCAACTTGCACTTTGTCCATTCAATTATATACTTTTATATAACACGTTTGGTTCATGAAATAAATTTGGAGGAAATAAGAATGTTACTCCATAGGTAATAAAATAGGCAATGAATAGAACATGAATTATATTCTATATATTCAGATCATATGAGAACCCTTTCTTTAAGTGAGAACATGCGAACTGAATTAATGCACAACAACTATTCCAGACAGTTTCGTCAAAGGTCTCCGTCCGTCATCCAAACACAGTAATAGCACGTTTTGTTTCACCTAAGACATGATTTTCATGTGAGCCAGACACACTACACACACAAGAGATTCCCCAACCTTAGAGTTGCATTAACATCTTGCTTATCAATTGTGAATGAGTTAAGTGATGACTTACGTATGTTTTTTAAGTTACCATTTCAGTAAATTGTAAATAGAACTTATGATTTTTATTTTTATTTTTGTAATGATAATGTTATATATACAAAGTGTAGTGTAAGAAATGAACATTTGTAGGGTGAGGCGGTGCAAAATTGGCGAGAAATGGTGACATATTTTTCGTACCCAAAGCAGAAGAGGGACTATTCAAGATGGCCAGACAAGCCAGAAGGGTGGACAGGTGTGACTGAGAAGTACAGTGAGAAGTTGATGGAGGTTGCAAGCAAATTGCTAGAGGTTTTATCAGAGGCAATGGGGTTAGAGAAGGAAGGGTTGAGCAAGGCATGTGTGGATATGGACCAAAAGATTGTGGTCAATTTCTATCCAAAATGCCCACAGCCTGATCTGACCTTAGGGCTAAAACGCCACACAGATCCAGGAACCATCACACTTTTGCTGCAAGATCAAGTTGGGGGTCTCCAAGCTACTAAAGATGGTGGCAAGACTTGGATCACTGTTCAGCCCATCAATGGTGCCTTTGTTGTTAACCTTGGTGACCATGGCCATGTAAGTTAATTCCCTTTTCTCAACACTAAACAATATGAAACGTGTATATTAAATAACTCTTGAATCACTAAACGGGCAACCCTAGTTAAGTTGATCAAACTGTTGTCTTATAATCACATCAGTTACAAATTCTACTCCTAACAAGAGCGACTTATTGACATTTTCAATTTGCGTCGATCAACTATTAACCACCGAAGCTGATTTACCTCCTTGTGCATCCTTTTTTTGCCCAACTACGTACCTATTCCCCTTCTTTTATTATTGGTTAGACATAAGCTTCAAATCATGTGGTTAATTGTTGTGTGTGAACAAATAATGAGGGTGTTTGGTAAATAGTTGTTAGCTGATTGGATTAGTGGGTTTGATTCATTGATAACATCAGCTGATTGTAGAAAAATGTTTGGTAAATGAGTTGTTGGTTATAGCTGATTACATGTAAAATGACTTTTTTTTTTCAAAAAACTAATTGAAAAAGCTACTTTGAACAGCTTTTAACATTTTGAAGC